CCTGTTAAATCTAATCACAATGATGTATACGGTAAATACCATTCAATCCTGTTAAATCTAATCACAATGATGTATATGGTACGGTAAATACCATTCAATCCTGTTAAATCTAATCACAATGATGTATACGGTAAATACCATTCAATCCTGTTAAATCTAATCACAATGATGTATACGGTAAATACCATTCAATCCTGTTAAATCTAATCACAATGATGTATACGGTACGGTAAATACCATTCAATCCTGTTAAATCTAATCACAATGATGTATACGGTACGGTAAATACCATTCAATCCTGTTAAATCTAATCAAAATGATGTATACGGTAAATACCATTCAATCCTGTTAAATCTAATCACAATGATGTATACGGTAAATACCATTCAATCCTGTTAAATCTAATCACAATGATGTATATGGTACGGTAAATACCATTCAATCCTGTTAAATCTAATCACAATGATGTATACGGTACAGTAAATACCTTTCAATTATGTAAACGGTGAGTACCTTATCAGTTTCGTTGAATCTAATTATAATAATAACATAAACCTTGATCATGAATTATGAGGTATATGTAAGTTCTGCTGGTACATGTAGCTGTTAGCATAAAGGATAGCTGTTTGGGACAAATGAAAATAATATCTTCACCAGATTTGATTAATTTTTCAGATTTAACATCTAAATTGTATTAACAAAGCTCGTGGAATGATCTCCTGTTGTAGTACTACTATTAGTTGATAGCTTTTTTTTTTTGTTTTGCTTTCTAAACAAAGGATTAATTATTGCTGAGCAGCAATGAACATGAACCAGTGCAATTGTTGAACAACTGTGAACATGAACCAAGACCCTTCTTCAATTGATAGTGAATATGAACTTACATGCCTAACATCAGTGAACACAAAACAGTACATATGCTTAACATCAGTGAACACGAAACAGTACACATACTTAACTTCAGTGATCATAAAACAGTACACATGCTTAACATCACTGATCATAAAACAGTACACATGCTTAACATCACTGATCATAAAACAGTACACATGCTTAACATCACTGATCATAAAACAGTACACATGCTTAACATCACTGATCATAAAACAGTACACATGCTTAACATCACTGATCATAAAACAGTACACATGCTGAACATCACTGATCATAAAACAGTACACATGCTGAACATCAGTGAACACGAAACAGTACACAAGCTTAACATCAGTGAACACAAAACAGTACACTTGTTAAGCATGGTTTTGTGTACTTGCATAGCAGGAATAAGACAAAAGTGTATAGAAGGAATTATTTGGGGTATGGGCGAGTACACCGGCTTAGGCACCAGACTGACTGACCTTTCTGTTATGTAATAAAACATAAAACTATGTATTTAATGGTCTTCCATGTTGTCTTCCCAACACTTCATTCAATAGATACACACGAAATTTCATAAGGTATCATAATTCATCAACTTTATCAGGTGATTTTCAGTTATACTTGGATTATACTAGGTCAGTAAAAGTAAAATTCCGAGGAGATGTGTAGTTAAGTACCTTTTGTCACACAGATGTTAAAAGAATTTGTAACAAGTTTATCAGGAATCCTGGTGTCATATTCACATGCTATCAGTTGTTATCTACCTTAAAATATTTGGGAAATAGCATGTATGTATTTATTAAAATTTTGCTTGTCATCATGACTTTTTCATCATAGTAATTTAAACCAAGAAAGATAACTCTTACTGTTTGTCTCAGCAGTGTTACAGATAAAACAACGAAAGAAAGCCCAGAGACGCTGTCCACAACTGCTGAGATTGATCAAATAGAACTTGTACTATTATCATCTGCTATAATCTAGGTTTCCAAGTGTTACTCTTTTCATTTGTAAATCAAACTTAAATTAATAATCAGGCGCAGATCCAGGATTTTAGGTTAGGTTAGAGGCGGCCTACATTTTAACTGAAAAATTATATCTTCTATATTAAAGGATCATTCTTAAAAAAATTGATCTAAAATATAAGGTATGATAACGTTATGGTAAATCTATTAATGAATTACAAAAATATTGGGAGGGTATATAAATAATACAGTATCCCTCCCCTAAGGACCCCTTCTTTCACACCTGATGACAATTATACAAATCGTCAACAGAATGAAAACTAAAGAACAATGGCAAATCAATGTAAGACAAGTGATTCTTACGGTAGCATAATAATAACCATTGTAATCGACTTTTTCAATGTCTGATTTTGGGTGTAGCTCCCATTTTTTTTTTTTTTTACCCAAATTCATATAAATGATGATCAGTTACAGCATGTGATACAGCCAGTTTTTGAGAGACCAACATTGATGTGATACAGCCAGTTTTTGATAGACCAACATTGATGTGACACAGCCTGTTTTTGAGAGACCAACATTGATGTGACACAGCCAGTTTTTGATATATCAACATTGATGTGATACAGCCTGTTTCTGAGAGACTACCATTGATGTGATACAGTCTGTTTTGAGAGACTACCATTGATGTGATACAGCCTGTTTTTGATAGACCAACATTGATGTGATACATCCTGTTTCTGAGAGACTATCATTGATGTGATACAGTCTGTTTTGAGAGACCACCATTGACGTGATACAGCCTGTTTCTGAGAGACTACATTGATGTGATACAGCTTGTTTTTGAGAGACCACCATTGATGTGACACAGCCAGTTTTTGATAGACCAACATTGATGTGATACAGCCTGTTTTTGAGAGACCAACATTGATGTGATACAGCCTGTTTTTGATAGACCAACATTGATGTGATACAGCCTGTTTTTGATAGACCAACATTGATGTGATACAGTCTGTTTTTGAGAGACCACCATTGATGTGATACAGCCTGTTTTTGATAGACCAACATTGATGTGATACAGCTTGTTTTTGAGAGACCACCATTGATGTGATACAGCCTGTTTTTGATAGACCAACATTGATGTGATACAGCCTGTTTTTGAGAGACCAACATTGATGTGATACAGCCTGTTTTTGAGAGACCACCATTGATGTGATACAGCCTGTTTTTGAGAGACCACCATTGATGTGATACAGCCTGTTTTTGAGAGACCACCATTGATGTGATACAGCCTGTTTTTGAGAGACCAACATTGATGTGATACAGCCTGTTTTTGAGAGACCAGCATTGATGTGATACAGCCTGTTTTTGAGAGACCACCATTGATGTGATACAGCCTGTTTTTGAGAGACCACCATTGATGTGATACAGCCTGTTTTTGAGAGACCAACATTGATGTGACACAGCCAGTTTTTGATATATCAACATTGATGTGATACAGCCTGTTTCTGAGAGACTACCATTGATGTGATACAGCCTGTTTTTGAGAGACTACCATTGATGTGATACAGCCTGTTTTTGAGAGACCACCATTGATGTGATACAGCCTGTTTTTGATAGACCACCATTGATGTGATACAGCATGTTTTTGAGAGACCACCATTGATGTGATACATCCTGTTTTTGAGAGATTACCATTGATGTGATACAGCCTGTTTTTGAGAGACCACCATTGATGTGATACAGCCTGTTTTTGAGAGACCACCATTGATGTGATACAGCCTGTTTTTGAGAGACCACCATTGATGTGATAAATCCTGTTTCTGAGAGACCACCATTGATGTGATACAGCCTGTTTTTGATAGACCAACATTGATGTGATACAGCCTGTTTTTGAGAGACCACCATTGATGTGATACAGCCAGTTTTTGAGAGACCACCATTGATGTGATAAATCCTGTTTCTGAGAGACCACCATTGATGTGATACAGCCTGTTTTTGAGAGACCACCATTGATGTGATACAGCCTGTTTCTGAGAGACAACCATTGATGTGATACAGCCTGTTACTGAGAGACTATAATTGATGTGATACAGCCAGTTTTTGAGAGACCACCATTGATGTGATACAGCCTGTTTTTTAAAGACCACCATTGATGTGATACAGCATGTTTTTGAGAGACCACCATTGATGTGATAAATCCTGTTTCTGAGAGATTACCATTGATGTGATACAGCCAGTTTTTGAGAGACCACCATTGATGTGATACAGCCTGTTTTTGAGAGACCACCATTGATGTGATACAGCCTGTTTTTGAGAGACCACCATTGATGTGATACAGCCTGTTTTTGAGAGACCACCATTGATGTGATACATCCTGTTTCTGAGAGACTACCATTGATGTGATACAGCCTGTTTCTGAGAGATCATCATTGATGTGGCACAGCCTGTTTTTGAGAGACCACCATTGATGTGATACAGCCTGTTTCTGAGAGACCACCATTGATGTGATACAGCCTGTTTCTGAGAGACCACCATTGATGTGATACAGCCTGTTTTTGAGAGACCACCATTGATGTGATACAGCCTGTTTTTGAGAGACCAACATTGATGTGATACAGTCTGTTTTTGAGAAACCACCATTGATGTGATAAAGCCTGTTTTTGAGAGACCATCATTGATGTGATACATCCTGTTTCTGAGAGACTACCATTGATGTGATACAGCCTGTTTCTGAGAGATCATCATTGATGTGGCACAGCCTGTTTTTGAGATACAGCCTGTTTCTGAGAGACCACCATTGATGTGATACAGCCTGTTTCTGAGAGACTATCATTGATGTGATACAGCCTGTTTCTGAGAGACTACCATTGATGTGATACAGCCTGTTTCTGAGAGACCAACATTGATGTGATACAGCCTGTTTCTGAGAGATCATCATTGATGTGATACAGCCTCTTTTTTTTTGGAGATGATAAAAGTAGGATGCAGTAAATTATCTTGTATGTTGGGAATAATATTAATCATCCAACTTGTTGCATGTCATTTAAATATCTAAAATGGGTAAGAAATCTTGACTGGTTCTGTTATCCTTCTTTCATGGACAGGAGAGTGTATCTAACTGAAATTTTTATGTATTTTATTTTGATTTGTTTGTTTCAGGTGGCATGTTCACTGGTGTTGAGTGAGAGTACGTGTTCCCAGTGTGACCGTGGCGCACTAAGATGTCAGAAGATATCTGGGATCTATACAGTCAAGTATTTGAGTCAAGGCTACCATCCTATTGTGGACATACCAGCAGGTGCTTGTAACGTCAATGTTACAGAGCTCAAAAACAGCAGAAACTACCTCGGTATGTATAGACTGACTTCCACATCTCATGTGTGTACCTATTTAGTAAGGAAATTAATTACAACATCAGGTTGTCCTGTGTCTAAAGTTAAAAATCTTCATAATTTTCCTCTATTTTCTTCGTAAAGTATCTGGGAAAATCTCAAAATTAAACACGATGCAAGGACCCTTAATTATGTTAAGTTAGATTTATTTGAAGATAAAAACAAACAAAAACAAAACGACCAGCATATGTTGAGTCATTATTTGTGTTGTAAAAAAGTAATTACCATCAAGTGATGAACAGAAAACAAGCTGCCATGAATTCAAACCTGATAGCAGAAAAAAATCTATAAATGATACATTTAACAATAAATGTCTAAAACATGACCTAAAGGTGTTTTACCTACAATATACTGACATGTATTAAGGAGTTATGCTATACTGTACATATCAAATTCTGACATGTATTAAGGAGTTATGCTATATTGTACATATCAAACTCTGGACATGTATTAAGGAGTTATGCTACACTATACATGTTATTCTTTGACATGTATTAAGGAGTTAAGCTACAATGTACATATTAATCTTTGAGATGTGTTAAGGAGTCATGCTACACTGTACATATAAATCTTTGACATGTATTAAGGAGTTCTGCTACACTGTACATATAAATCTTTGACATGTATTAAGGAGTTAAGCTACAATGTACATATTAATCTTTGAGATGTGTTAAGGAGTTATGCTAAACTGTACATATAAATCTTTGACATGTATTAAGGAGTTCTGCTACACTGTACATATAAATCTTTGACATGTATTAAGGAGTTAAGCTACAATGTACATATTAATCTTTGAGATGTGTTAAGGAGTTATGCTAAACTGTACATATAAATCTTTGACATGTATTAAGGAGTTATGCTACACTGTACATATAAATCTTTGACATGTATTAAGGAGTTATGCTACAATGTACATATTAATCTTTGACATGTATTAAGGAGTTATACTATACTGTACATATCAAACTCTGACATGTATTAAGGAGTTCTGCTACACCGTACATTTCAGTCTCTGACATGTATTAAAGAGTTACATTTTACAGTAACTATCAAACTCTGACTTATGTAGAGGAGTTACACTACAACGTGTGTTTTTTACGTACATAATATGTATACCATAGATTGTTTTAAAGATATATCCTTCTGTATCTATAATGATACGCTGGCATGTAACAAGGATGCCATTGGACACTATAGGACATGTACGATGTATGAACGATGTTTGCTTTACTCCATGTACAGTACCCCAATATCATTTATTGATTTCTTGTTTAAATAAGCTATTCAAGAAGAAAACAACTGTACATCATAACTTTTTTCAATGATTTGGACTTGACCAATCTGATACTTTAGACCTATTTGATTAATTGTGATTAAATTTAAAGGGAAAGGTTAGTGGATTTGGTATTTTTGTTTCCCAACTGAAAAATCCCTAATGTTTATCATATATTCATATATTTTTGGGTATTACAACCAAGCCGTATGCTGTAGTTATCAGTGGCAGGTGAAAATGTCCTTCATTTTTCACCTGGATACCTGAAAGTATGCAGGGGATTGATAGATAAGGGTAAATCGGGAGAATCAATCACAACAGGCAGCAGGCAAGTTCTTTATACCTTATTATGTACCTCATCTACAAATTTTGCCCACAGTATTGGTCTTTTTCAGGACAACACATCAGTGAAACTCTACCTCTAAAGTAGTAAAAATGTGGCCAGCTTTCTTATATTCATTATGACATTTAAGTATCTAGCCTGTTGTAATTGATTCTCCTGGTGTGTTAATATATCTATCAATACTGCTTATGAAAACTTTGTTTAGAAATATTGAAAAAAGCCAAAGATGACATTAGAATATGATAAATGAAGAGAATCCTTGTATGTTTAGTTAGACATAATTTAATGCTTGTTTGTAAACAATAGCTGTGTTAACTTGAAAATTAATTGTGACTTGATGATCTAATAACATAGCTGCTTCCTGACACAACAGAGAATCATACTTCTGGATCAATAGTATCTATCCGATATCATATCAATTAAACATCAAGGGAGAGAAACTAATCAACATATACCCATGGGGAGATAACTCTAACAAAGCAGAAAGTTTTAGACATTATAGTTATGAAAATAAAGTGAAAAATAATATGGAGTTCCTTGGGAAAGATCTCTTACACAAATCACAGGAATTACCTCTGAGGTATGGTGTAAACTTTAGGTAGGTAACTTTCACACAAGACATATACATATGGACAATGATTTCAGTCTCAAGTTTTCAGATCCTTAAGATACACATAATATGTTCCCTTTCATTTTATAGACTTTCAGAAAACTTGATGTTTTCTCACTTTTATAGCTTTAAAAGCAAGCACAGGACACTGGATTTTGAATGGTCGATGGGTCAAGAACAAACCTGGACTGTATCACGGAGCAGGAACACAGTTTAGGTATGACAAAGACAGTTCCAGGTGTCCTAGCGAGTGTATCTGGGGACATGGGCCACTCAAACACAAGGTCACGGTACAGGTAAGTTGGTTATTATATTTAACAAGGTCTGTAGGTAGATATCTGATTGTATTTTGTTGTTAATTAATCTTTGAAGTTCATTAAGACTCAGTTTGTTCCTCTTCTACTGATGCCATCATATACATAACGAAGGAGATATATTCTTCTCCATATGATTCCATGGTGAACCTGTAACCTCTTGTTAAGTGTTAATGTAACAACAATCCGACATTGAATCTGATGTAGTTTATGTCATTCTAAACACTCTATCCATGGGCTTATTACTTGTCAGATATCATAAAGGTGCTAAAATCCATTGCCACATGTAAGATAATGTTTTGTCCTTTATTCCCACCAAGCAAGATGCGTTACGTTTGAGAGTAAATATTTTGCATATCATTGAGAGCTACTACACCAAGGTAACTTTAATAAGAAAAAAAATTAGCATATTTTCATCATTCATGTTAGAAAAAAGATATAGAAAGTCATGGTCATTACTAATATAGGCATTACATAGATGTTCCTAGGATGATAAAAAAAATCAGTAAAGGGTGATGTCTGTTCATTTCCTTTTTTTTTTTTTTAGATAGCCTCTAAATAACCATGTGGTCTAGGGCAAAGACACTTTATGTGACTTGCTGAGTAACACAATATCAAGTTTGCCTACCTAAATGAACTTGACATGTATTCAAGGTCAAACAAGTCAAATATATCAAAGTTTCCAAAAACCAACTTTTCAAGCATGTTTGAGAAGATATTTATCTTAAGTGCAAACCACAATTTAAAACTGTATTTTCACGTGCTTTGGAAAATGTCTGTTTCCTTTCCCAAGCAAAGAGTGCATGGTGACAGTCACTGAATTTTAATGACATTCACTATTCGGCAAATTGAAAAAAGTGTTACAATAAAAGTCAGCTGTCAAATTAACAAGACATATTTTCATCCGAATGGCACTATTAAACTGCAGGCAGTCTTAGGAACAGTTGATGTATTCATCCACTTTGCCCCTTTTAGCTGTATGCGAGATAATATGGGATCTGACGTACTAGGATGTCAGGGGAGTTCTTACCTCACCAGAAGGGTCAAGTGAGCTTATGCAACTGTTTGACATCCATCATCTTTTCCGTTTAAACAACTTCTTCTTGATAAACAAAAAGCCTACAATCATGATATCTGGCTACAAGGTTCTTTGAATGAAGTCAGACAAGATTTTTAAAAAGAAATGACCACGACTCATATTCAAGGTCACAGTGGTCAAATATGTAAAACCATTCAAAGGACTTCTTCTGATGCAACCAAAAGGCCTAGCATTGTGATACTTGGCTGATAACTTCTTGCAATGAAGGTGAACATATCAATTGAAAGGAAATAACCATGACCCATACATGTATATTCATAACCATAGGGGTCAAATATGTTAATACCTTCAAACAATATTCTTTTAATGAACTGTCTAGATTTATAATATTTGTCAATTAGGTTCCTGAGATGAAATCCAACAAAGTTGTCAAAAGAAATAGCCTTGACCCATCTTCTTGGTCACAGGGATCAACATCTTCTTTTCATAAATCAAGACTTGTCAATTATGTGAATATTAACGTATTTGTTAAAAGCCTAAGATTTCATGGCCAGTTGAGTGATGCAGGCCTGTTGGGCCTTGTGGTTAATGAATCATTGATTCTGAGTAATTACATTAATCCTATGTATTGATTAGTGTTATTGTAACACATTGTTCAAATTATCTACCAGGAATCAAATGTATAAAAAACATCTAAGAACAAGCTGCTGATATTTTAGGACTCATAACTCATTTTGGTAAATATTGTCCAAATAAATTTCTTAATTGATTTGAAGGTCTTAGAGGTCAGATGCATTTAGAATAGATAGAAGGATTTAGGTTATAGAGCTGACACCATCAGTTATCACTTGGTTGGATATAAGGTTCCTTCACTCTTCAGTCAGATACCCTGAAGTATGCAGGGTGACTGAGCAGAATCAGGTAGGAATGTCAGTCACAACAACATCAGAGTAGCTGTCTAAATTTATTCCATCACTGTCGACCAGTTTCACCTGTTAGTAAGCTTCATAAGGACAACCAACTCAATGTTCTACCCTTAAAGTACACACAATGCTGGCACCCTATTCTATACACAGAGATATAGTACTGTGATGAAGTCTTTGTTGATTCCAAAGTTAATTACGTAATATAAAGTCTCTAGTTTCGATTCTCTCTCTGTCTTTGGGAGGTGTTTGGGGTTGACACTAATGCCTCCCAAGTCTTGTCACTAACAGTGACGTCTTCCTTCAGCATCTTCATGGCTTCACCAAGTCTAGCTTTGCCTTAGTGAAACTTTGTTGTTAAATGATATTTTAGCTGCCTCCTGGGTTTTGTTGCTCATGGCTCTGTGGTATAAATTAGGGGCTCCTTTTTCTGAGCTAATCTACATTCCTTCTGTGACCTTTTGCAAATCTTGCACCTGTACCAATGCAAGTACATACCTTCGTAGATTTCATATAACTTCCAATTTGTATCCCAATACAATGTATTCTTCATGTCATTCCTTGCTTGTTGTGTGTTTTCTTATTCTTCACCGTGGTAAATGTTACATGATTATGTTGAGGCCCTCATGTTGTTTCGTTTACAAAATTTGTACATAGTATTCCTGCAAACAAAGGCACGACTGATGTTTACATCCATCTTGAAGCCAATAACAATGATATTCCTGATATTGTGACCCTGTTATACAATGCCTCTTTGGAGGCTCCGATACCCTCATTGTGGGGTATAAAAATGTATAGTGCAGGTACGTCCGCAGTACAGAATATGCTGTCCTTTGGAAAAATTCCTAGTTCCACAACACTCCTTAATAGGCCATTGCTAACCCTCATGTATAATTCCATATGATTCCATTTTAATGGTGTTAAGTAGTAATCTCCATCGCTGGGCAAAACTGGTCGTCAGTAATGTATTACACTGAGAAATCTTCTCTGATGCTGTTGTGATTGATACTCTTACCAGAATAGATAGAGATACAGGCCCATTGGGACCCTTATTTCATTATTGGTCTTTTAACATATTATAAGTTAAATTTGTTCCAAAACTGTTTTTCACTTAAGTTTTCTCTTAGTCCACTATTCAACAAAGATTGATGAATATTTCATGATGGTCGACTGACAACAAACAATAATTTTGTTCTGTCAATACACAGATATTGTATGCCTGGACGAATGAAGGCGTTATATATGAGTTCACCCTGCCCCCAGATGTAGAGTATACATCTCCTACGAATCTAGTCCCTGCGGGGCATACCGTCCATAGGCGTCGCCATCACCATCGCCGGCCACATTACCGACCCTCAAATTTACGAAATGTTTCAAGCACCTCTGTGAATCAGAATAATTATGGAAAACATTCAAGAGTAGAGAGTGATCCTACTTTCTCACACCATTTGGGGTCAAAGATTAGAGTTGAACAACAACAACCCGGAAGTATTCGTCTTCAGCCACGTCCAGAGTATGTGTCTCCTGCAGAAACCAACACAGGCTATCAGGCCCTGCGGTCAGTAGGATCGAGTGTGAGATATGGTGTCAGACCACTGTTTACTGAGCACAGGGAAGAGCTGACCAGTGAGGACAGAAGCACAAGCCGTGCCCTTGAGATACCAAGTGGTGGGACCAACTCCCTTGTCCTTCAAAGTCTGTATTCATGGAGGATAGCAGGATTTACAGCCTGTACTCATACCTGTGGGTCAGGTAAGGTGGCTTAAGATACAGGACAAGGTTTCATGTTTAGCTAACAAGGTCACGGACAAGGTTTCATGTTTCGCTTACAAGGTCAAGGACAAGGTTTCATGTTTAGCTTACAAGGTCAAGGACAAGGTTTCATGTTTAGCTTACATGGTCTACTTATTGCCGGCATCTGACATTCGGCATCAGTGAGCTATTACTGAAAATTGCTAATTACATTTGTACTAGTCATGAGCGACTGAACAGATTTTAATTGAAGTTGCTTAGAGGCATGTTTGAGGGATGGGGAAATCATCCGAGGGGTGGGGCCCAGAAGAGGAAATTTAGCAATTTCTTTAAAATCCTTCTTCTGTAGGATGATTGGATTTTGTCCAAATTTGATATGAAACAGAATAGGGTGAATGGGAATCAATTTTGTATACACTGTGGGTCAAGGCCCCATCAGGAACCTGGGTGAATGGTCAGGGCCCGATAGAGGAAATAGTGTAAATTCTGAAAGATTCTTCTTCTTTTGTAGAAAGTTAAGGAATCTATCCAAATTTCATTTAAAACATCCTGGCATGAAGGGAAATCAGTTTTATATAACTGTGGATCTTGGAACCTGAGGGCATATGGGCAGTTTCAAAGAGGGGAAATAGAAATTTTTTAAGGCCTTCTGTGATTAAAATTTCAAAAATGTATAAAATGAATGTCTTTTTAAAAATGAAACATCACATACTTCTTCTTTTGTAGAAAGTTAAGGAATCTATCCAAATTTCATTTAAAACATCCTGGCATGAAGGGAAATCAGTTTTGAGTAAACTGTGGATCTCTGCTCCCTGAGGGCATATGGGCAGTTTCAAAGAGGGGAAATAGAGCAATTTTTTAAGGCCTTCTGTGATTAAAATTGTGGCAAGCAAAAATGTATAAAATGAATGTCTTTTTAAAAATGAAACACTTCACATACTATAAAGTCCTGCGTCCCCAGTTACTGTATAGTCTCAATGTTCCCTGTTACTGGATAGTCTCAATGTTCCCTGTAACTATATAGTCTCAATGTTCCCTGTTACTATATAGTCTCAATGTTCCCTGTTACTGTATAGTCTCAATGTTCCCTGTTACTGGATAGTCTCAATGTTCCCTGTTACTGGATAGTCTCAATGTTCCCTGTTACTGTATAGTCTCAATGTTCCCTGTTACTGAATAGTCTCAATGTTCCCTGTAACTATATAGTCTCAATGTTCCCTGTAACTATATTGTCTCAATGTTTCTTGTAACTATATAGTCTCAATGTTCCCTGTTACTGTATAATCTCAATGTTCCCTGTAACTGTATAGTCTCAATGTTCCCTGTAACTATATAGTCTCAATGTTCCCTGTTACTGTATAATCTCAATGTTCCCTGTAACTATATAGTCTCAATGTTCCCTATATAGTCTCAATGTTCCCTGTAACTATATAGTGTCAATGTTCCCTGTAACTATATTGTCTCAATGTTTCCTGTAACTATATAACTATATAGTCTCAATGTTCCCTGTAACTATATAGTCTCAATGTTCCCTGTAACTATATAGTCTCAATGTTCCTGTACATATATTACTGTAACTGTATAGTCTCAATGTTCCCTGTAACTATATAGTTTCAATGTTCCCTATAACTATATAGTCTCAATGTTCCCTGTAACTATATAGTCTCAATGTTCCCTGTTACTGTATAGTCTCAATGTTCCTTGTAACTATATAGTCTCAATATAGTCTCAATGTTCCCTTTAACTATATAGTCTCAATGTTCCCTGTAACTATATAGTCTCAATGTTCCCTGTTACTGTATAATCTCAATGTTCCCTGTAACTGTATAGTCTCAATGTTCACTGTAACTATATAGTCTCAATGTTCCCTGTTACTGTATAGTCTCAATGTTCCCTGTAACTGTATAGTCTCAATGTTCCCTGTAACTGTATAGTCTCAATGTTCCCTGTAACTATATAGTCTCAATGTTCTCTCTTACTGTATAATCTCAATGTTCCCTGTTACTGTATAGTCTCAATGTTCCCTGTTACTGTATAGTCTCAATGTTCCCTGTAACTATATAGTCTCAATGTTCCCTGTTACTGTATAGTTTCAATGTTCCCTGTAGCTATATAGTCTCAATGTTTCCTGTTACTGAATAGTCTCTGTGTCTCCCGTTACTGTATAGTCCTTGTGTCTATACTGTTACTGTATAGTCTGAATGTTCCCTGTTACTGTATAGTCTCTGTGTCTCCCGTTACTGTTAAGTCCTTGTGTCTCCTGTTACTGTATAGTCCCAGTGTACCCTGTTACTGTATAGTCTCAATGTTCCCTGTAGCTATATATTCTCAATGTTCCCTGTTACTGTATAGTCTCTGTCTCCCGTTACTGTATAGTCCTTGTGTCTCCTGTTACTGTATAGTCCCAGTGTACCCTGTTACTGTATAGTCTCAATGTTCCCTGTAGCTATATAGTCTCAATGTTCCCTGTTACTGTATAGTCTCTGTGTCTCCCGTTACTGTATAGTCCTTGTGTCTCCTGTTACTGGATAGTCTCAATGTTTCCTGTAACTGTATAGTCTAAATGTTCCCTGTTACTGTATAGTCTCAATGTTCCCTGTTACTGTATAGTCCTTGTGTGTCCTGTTACAGTATAGTCCCAGTGTACCCTGTTACTGTGTAGTTCCTGTGTTCCCTATTAGTCTATAGTCTCTGTGTCCTTGTTACATTATATAGTCCTATTACTGCTTCAAGTGGTAATAGTTAGAATGGAGTATTTGTTTTGTAATTGTTAAGATATATAAATGTTTTTCTTTGCTGTACAGGTACACAGGAGACAGAAGTGTTGTGTGTACTTAAGACAACCCAGGTCCAGGTTACGGACGACAACTGTGATGTATCACTTCGCCCACCCAAACAGACCGTCACGTGTAACAAGTCACCCTGTCCTCCACAGTAAAATCTTCCTTTAATTTTAGATTTTATGAAATAATATTATGTCTAAAAACATCAGATTTTAAGGAAACTCTTTTCTTTGAGAGGGTAGGGGTGTTTAAAGGGAATCTAGGACAGAAAACTTCAAGGAGAATACCCACATGGTAGCTGACAAGAAACTCTATTTCAAGAACTGATGGGGAATCCCCACTTCGTAACTGACAAGAAACAAGAATTTACATGGAATCCTCCTTTGGTAATAAGAAACTCCTTTGAAGAATTTGTGGGGAATCTGGCCACAGGGTAATAGACAGGAAACCACTTTTGAAGAATTCTTGAGAAATCCCCACTTGGTCACTGACAAGGAACTTCCTTTATTTTAAGAAATTATCAGGAATTCCCTCATGATAACTGAATGGGTCTACTTTTTAGGAATTGAGAACAATTGGCAGGAAACTTCTTCTGAGGAATTCATGAGGTATCTGCACTAAGTAACTGACAGGGAACTGCACATTAGAGTGAATAGGGTACCCACACTAATTGGTAAGAGGGAATTCCTTTGTAAGAATGAAACGGGACTCCTGTCTCGGTAACTTACAGGAAATTCCTTTTAAATAATTTATGGACAGTCTGTACTTGCTAATAAGGAATTCTGTTTAAAGGAATTTTTGGGAAATCCCCTCTTGTATTTGGTAACTTAAAGGGAATTCCTTTCTAAAAGTTGGTAAAGGATGAACTTTGTAGGTGATAAGCTGATATAGAAAGTTTGAAGAGTAATAACATTCTTCCATTCAAGCTATCATCCATCCACTGCATGTAGCTTAGGCTAAAAACAATAAAAATGACAACTCCTATTCTTATGATGTAGTAAGTTCACTAAATGAGAGCTTTACCAAGCAAACAAGGAAAAAAGCTGATGTAACCAACAGTAATGTTTCCCAGGGGCATCTCTATGTTTGCATGATCCTTCTATCTATGTGCTTGTTGCAGATTTATCCAAGTTAGAGTAGAATTTAAATTACATCATCATCCAGCTTTATAGTAGCTATATGTCAACTGACTTTTTTATTTCATACATGTTGAAATCATTTACATTTTAACAATTCTGATGTTGACATGAAAATTGCTGTCATTCAGATGAATTGTAGCATCCCATTTTAAATTATACACATTACAACTGTTAAACCTTCATCATGAAATCTTAACTGATGATGTGGATGAGTTTTAAAAGTATTACCTGAAATCTTATCATACCTGTAACACCTTCGTCAACCCACCCATTCAGGTAAACAAAATTGGCTGATGCAGCACTGTTTACATAATGATTTGTGATGTGTTAGAGAAATGACATTAGTGCTACCTGCTTTACCTGTAAAAATACCTGTTGACGAGATGATGGGGAGGCGGGGAAGTTCAAACAAGGTGGTATAGCATTAAGTCTGTCATTTGACTACAGCATTCCATAAAGTACATACAACCTAATAGCTATTACATTGGACCGTAAATCACATGTATTATCATGTATGGCTGCCCACCTGTAATGGTTTACACAACAACTCACCAGTCCAACAGGTGATTGTCTGTTAATCCAACATGAGACTAGAACTGTTAACTTGTCTGACAATTGAAGGACTAAGTACATGTATTTACTAACCAGTTTTTACAGGCTCAGCTTGACCTTTCTCTGATATGTGTTAGAGTGAGATGTGACCACATCATTGAAGATTTGGATTTTAAAATCCCATAAATTATAAAGTATCTACAACAAATATTTATATATTAAAAGTACCTATAATTTTATAAAAAATAAATGAAGACTTAACAAATTTTGTTTAAATAATCAATAATTTGTTAATTTGTATTGAAGTGCACTACCTTGATGGCTGTGTTTGTTATAGTACTCAGTAATTCTAAAATCACATGGGTTTTTATCTCAATAGATGTTTTTGTCATTAAGAGTTCAAAGTCAGGACCCATACATATTTCTAAGAACAAGATACAGTGTTATTTTTTAAAACTGCACTAATTAATTTACTGTATTTTAAATGAATGTGTTTTTATCGCCGACTAAAATATATAAATCACAGACTAGGAGATATGTGTACATCAAATCCCATGATCATAAACATTGACATCATCACATCCATTACTTACATTTTTTTGGTAAAAGAAATCTTTCACATGTTTACAATTTATGTAATGAAAGAAAGTTCTCACAAAGTTTCATTATGCGATCCAGATTATAGCTAAAATGAAATATTTTAGATTTGTTTGTTCACTATATCAATTTTCCTCTAACACCTGCAGGAATCCCTGTAAGTACATGTACCCTATATCTGAGTGAATGATATTTGTAGGTGGGAGCTTCACTCCTGGTCAGTTTGCTCCGTGACATGTGGGCGTGGAACACAGTCAAGGCGAGTGGAGTGTAAGAGACGAATCTCTGGAGAAAATCATATCAGTGTTTCAGCATCCCTTTGTGATGCTGAAGAAAAGCCTGCAATAGTACAGCAGTGTGAGAATGATCCCTGTACCCGATGGAAGACAGGGAACTGGGGCCAGGTATTCATCACTTCTTACATGTAATGTATGATAACGTGTATCAAACCAAATGTACAAGTTAAAATGATCCTTTATAATGTAGAGCAGTGTTAATAGATCCTATTTGTGTAGTTATCTGACAATAAGCCATGCCCAATAACAAACCTACCTGTAGCTCTAGTTGTTATCTAAACTAACAAATGTTGGCTGCTTCGTCATTTTCCTGCACTAAGGATGAAGTTCCACAATGAGTGCTGACCATTTGTTTAGGAAATGTCATACATTTTTTTTTTTTGTCTGAGCAATGAAAACATTCATAACAAATGAAATTAGATAATATGAAGTAATAGGTTTTCAGTGCAGTGCTGAGGTCCCAGTACTCATCTGAGATTCTACAGCTTGTTATGAGAAGCTCTGTTTCAAGTATTGTGCTGAGATCTTTCTTGCTGTTATGAAATGTTCTGTTTTCAGTGCTCAGTGAATTGTGGTAGTGGTGAGAGGCGTAGAACTGTCCAGTGTGTGGACTCTCAGGACAGGCCTGTAACAGCAGAGCTATGTGATTCCCCTACCCCTCGGGATGTAGAAACATGTAACCAGGGTCCTTGTGAACACCACTGGTTCTTCTCTAAGTGGTCACATGAGGTATTGAAAACAAATATGTTTTATTTCAATGAAACAGCAGATTATCAGGTTGTGTTTGTGATCTCTGTCATATTTGGTGGCCTGGATTTTCTTCCTGATAAATACAAAACATACTCTCCTGAACAGTCCAATATGGCTAAATAATAAATTTTTTCATTTCAGAATAATTCCTGTCTTGTCCGCTCTGTAAGGAAAGTTGCTTTAAAGAGACAGATCAAATAAACAAAACCAAAATCAATTTTACATTTTACTAAATTTGAAAAAATTATTAAATTTTCCCAAACTTTTTTAATGATCAGTAATATTTTTAATGTTAAAGCTTATCATCTCTTCTGTGTTGATAGTGTTCCAGGTCCTGTAATGGAGGAGTGAAGACTCGCAGTGTTCATTGTGCCACTATTCGAGGCCACAAGTCCCTGGATGTAAACTGTGATCTTGCCAGTCGGCCTGAAGACCAACAGCAGTGCCAGAACAGCAGAGGCAGTGGCCACTGTGGCAATGATTGGTTTGCTGGTCCCTGGAGTCAGGTACAGTGTACATATCAGGTGGTAATACCCAATAATATATACATCTGGGGTGTATAACAAGTCTGTCTGTCTGTAATTTTTTGTTATTGCTATTTTTTCTAGAAATACTGCATAAATCTTTCTCAAATTTCATCTTGTAAGTACCACTTGATCCCTAAATGTGTCCTTTTGATTTTGGGACAGATCAGAGAAACAAAATTGCCGACAGGCAGCCATCTTGGATTTTGACAATGACATTGTGTTGTTGCTATTTCTCAAAAAGTATGTGATGGATCTCCCTTACATTTCATTTATGGGTTTCCTTGTCCCTAGTTGCACTTGTTAGTTTTGGACAGATCAGAAAAACAGTCCCCAACAGGCAGCCATCTTAGATCATAACAATAAAAGTACTATATGGATCTTTCTCAAATTTCGTATGTAAGTTCCTCTTTGTCCCTGCTTGTACTCAGAAAAATAAAAAGGCTGACATGCAGCCATCTTGGATTTTGACCCTGAAAGTTTTTTATCAGTTTCTTCAGAAATAAGTAAAGGATCATTCTTAAATGGTGTATATAGGTCCCCAGTTGTAACCTTTTGATTTGGGAATGATAAGAAAAACAAAATGGCCAACAGGTGAACATCTTGAATTAGGTAGTTAAAATTTATTATGGCTATTTCTGATATGACTATATTGTATAACAGCAAAAACAGAGGAAAAGAGAAATAAAGAAGGGAAAAGATTCAACTTCTACAGAAGAAATAAAAACAATGGTGGATGCCAAGATATCTTGTATAGCTTACAAAACAACAATTCACTAGTATGATATTTCAGACAGAGTTACATAAGAATGACTTTTAAAGAAAACTTGTATATTTGTGTCCTGCATAACTCAAAATAACTGTTTCTGCAGTGTTCCACTTCCTGTGGTGAAGGTGTAAGGGCACGCCATGTCTTGTGCCTGGCAGTGGATAAAAATCAGAACAGTCGGGCTGTACCACTAGACAGGTGTGATAACAACACAAAACCAGCATCACAAGAACTATGTCAGAAGTCCTCCTGTGGAGCACAGTGGCACATGTCTGAATGGACACAGGTAACTATTTCAAAAGATTTATCTCCCGCCTACAGTGGGAAACCTCAAAATGGACACAAGTAACTATTTCAAAAGATTTATCTCCCTCCTACACTGGGAAACCTCTAAATGGACACAGGTAACTATTTCAAAAGAGTTATCTTCCCCCTACAGTGGGAAACCTCTAAATGGACACTGGTAACTATTTCAAAAGAATTATCTCCCTCCTACATTCGGAAACCTCTAAATGGACACAGGTAACTATTTCAGAAGAGTTATCTACCTCCTATAGTGGAAAACCTCTAAATGGACACAGGTAATGTTCTGTCCAAAAGATTTAATCCATTTATATCATATTGAACAAGTGAATGGAAATGAGTAACTGTTCAAAGAAATTATCTCCCTTCTATGGTGATAACAACACAAAACCAGCATCACAAGAACAATGACAGAAGTCCTCCTGTGGATCACAGTGGCACATGCCTGAATGGACACAGGTAACAGGTTCAGTGAAATCTCAGTTCTGTAAAGTTATCTCCCCTTCTATGTTTGGAAGTGTCTGGACACTTTTTACTTTTCAAAGAAGTAACATCACTGAATCTCCACATATCTGTTAGGCAGTGTAAGAGTTACATGAAGAAGTTGGTAAATGTGTAAAAACTCTCACCAAGGACATCACAGTCATATGTACTCATAATTATCTAACCTTATTTCAGACATACACGTATTATTGATAAATCTTCTTTGTTGTAAAACTTAGTTTCAGTAGTTTGAGTAACAAACTGATAACAATACTAGGCAAATGGTCAGATATCAGTCACTGCATTGTCATGATCTATTCAGACTTCTGGTAAAAAAGCTTCTGCATTTGTTTCGGTATCTGCAATGCAATATGACATTTTCTCTCATTTCTACCTGTGTAACACTGGTCTGTCCATGGCAATACACCCATGTTCATTATTCTTGTGTCAAAACACACTCCCATGTAATACACATGTGTATACGTGTGTAGAAGTGTGATGTATTCCAATTCCCAATTGACATCATTGCCCGATACAAAATATATGTACATGTGTACAAACAGTTATTTGTAGTTACTCCTTTACCTTTTGTTTTGATTTATACACCTATATGGTTATAAAATAGATGTTTGACAGACAAGGCTTTAAGTGCCCATGCTCCCTAAATCACCATGATCAACATTGTACAATATAGAACCATTCCTCCCAAGATGACTTTAACTTTGAAACTTGGCTATATGATAAACTTTCAGTGCCCTGTAACCTGTGGAGAAGGTCAGGTGACTCGTACTGTGATGTGTCTAGATGAGGCTAAACAGCCTTCGACAAGCTGTGACCAGTCTGACCGTCCTCCATCTCGGGATACTTGTACTCAGAGAACGTGTATGAGCAGTTTGTCAGATGCAGGTAACAGATTCTAGAGATGCGATGGTGATTTACCCTTCAAAAACCCAGCTCAGGAATAACTTATCTTCTTATCATCACAAGTAAAGAAGACAGGAATACATACAATTTACCATTTAAAAGGCCCTGTTTACCAATAAGCCCACCCTCATAAACTTTAACATGACCCACTGCTATCAAGGATGTACTCCTTTGATGTTTTGATTATAATTCAATATAAAATGAATTCCAACATGATATATAAGACTTTTGTCTTTTTGTGTACTCTGTTGTCTTTACTTGTACTTATAAGTTAAAAACAGGTGATTTATATCACGTTTTGAAGAAAATTTCATTGGTGGACTACATTTTTGTAAGCGACGTTGATGTCGTGATTTGGTTAATGGCGTCAACAATTTCAACATCCTCTGATTGCTAAGGTAGTTCTCAGTTGAGTATAACTGTGGAAGTCATGGGTAGATTTCAACTAACTTTTGCATAAATTATTGCCACAAATCACAGATTTCAAATTCTTTGATTCCAGCTTGGTGACCATTTTTCTGGATTTCTAGGACCCAGAAATAGATATTTCAGTTGATTTTTTTATCTTGGAAAAACTAGCTAATAGGATGAAAATTGCAAAAAATAAAGCACAAGGACCCCGTCTGTTTTAATCATGAAAAGCATCCTCAAAAATGTTTCTATCAAAATTTAAAGGTTTAATACTAGAAAGATACTCAAATAAAGGATTTATGTCATTTTGGAATATTTTCCTTTTTTAGTTGCTATGCAGTTTAAAGTTCATTAAATCAAATTTTTGTTTTTTTATAAAGTTGTGAAAATAACAATATATTTGTTATCAGTACTGGAAAAAGGAGTGCAGTAGTATTGATGTTTTGCATTTAATCTTCTTTCTAAAACCAAACTTTTCAAAAAATCATCAACAGAACAATAGTATAATACCAGATTTGGTTTTAATTCTCAGAGGTGTACATCCTTAAATATGTATATATTATATAATGATTTCAGAGGTGTACATCCTTAAATATGTATATAATATATAATGATCTCAGAGGTGTACATCCTTAAATATGTATATATTATATAATGATCTCAGAGGTGTACATCCTTAAATATGTATATATTATATAATGATCTCAGAGGTGTACGTCCTTAAATATGTATATAATATATAATGATCTCAGAGGTGTACATCCTTAAATATGTATATATTATATAATGATCTCAGAGGTGTACATTCTTAAATATGTATATAATATATAATGATCTCAGAGGTGTACATCCTTAAATATGTATATAATATATAATGATCTCAGAGGTGTACATCCTTAAATATGTATATATTATATAATGATCTCAGAGGTGTACATCCTTAAATATGTATATAATATATAATGATCTCAGAGGTGTACATCCTTAAATATGTATATATTATATAATGATCTCAGAGGTGTACATTCTTAAATATGTATATAATATATAATGATCTCAGAGGTGTACATCCTTAAATATGTATATAATATATAATGATCTCAGAGGTGTACATCCTTAAATATGTATATAATATATAATGATCTCAGAGGTGTACATCCTTAAATATGTATATAATATATAATGATCTCAGAGGTGTACATCCTTAAATATGTATATAATATATAATGGCATGTATATTTTGTAAAAACCTGTAAACCAAAGATGTAATTGCAAACAAAAAACCAAAATGAGGCAGCTCACCTGTTTGTTAAAATATCATACATATAACACTTTTGCCATGCCAACATCTGCTGAGACAAACTTCTTTATTTTTCAGATCCCTCCTGCAAAGATCGTTATAGCAACTGTCAGTTAGTTGTACAAGCTCGTCTGTGTCGCTATGACTACTACAGTCAAATCTGTTGTGCTGCTTGTTATCATGAACAAAAAGTCAACTGACATAGCTCATACAATGACTGATATTAAACACATATCTGCCTGTAAAAATATTCTGCATTCCAGAAAGATCGGTCATGTAACACGTTGATTGTAAGACCTATTCAAGGTTAGATGTATGTAGTAATCAGACCTAGAATACCATGAAATAGGTCACTGTGTGACAGTTCTCAAGGTTCATACAATTTACTGGCTTGTTTGGTAGTAAAAAGGCTTCAGAAATAGTCTTGTAAGAATTTTGTCGGTTCATTGTGTGAAGCAGGCTTGAAGAAAATCACTAAACACTGCTGAGAAGAGAATACAACCATAAATATATTGTCCATTGTTTTCAGCATTGTGTACAGGTAGGTGGAAAGTTCTGTGACTATATGGAAGTTATGACTGGTTGTGTCTGAGTCTGTAGGATGAATTAATATCATTTTAAAATGTTGACATCATCATATGTAGAGTTATTTGATTGTTGGGTTTCTTGACATGGATTAAATTTGAGCTGGTAACATGTCTAAGTGGCTCTAGTGAGGAGCTGCATTGTCAAGGCCTGTAAAACTATGTACAGTGGATGATGATGTTGAAATCTTATACAAATATAGATATGATTTAAATATCTAAACCTGTATAGATACAAATATTGTACAATGTTCTAAGCTCCCTATAATTTGCTATCACCATAACCATTAATTGTTGCTGTGTAGTTAATACTAGAGCAACAATCGTTCCACTCTTTTATGACAATCAGAAAGCTGCACAGAGATGCTAATTAAAATTTTAACCAGGTAAGCATGTCATTTTCTATCACATGACGTCATGCATTTATGCGTTGATAAACCATGAAATAATGTAATAAATCACAGGACAGTCATGTGACATTTTATTAGCTTAATGAATTCTTGACTTGTATCTGTTAAAAGTTGTTAGTTGTTTTTCCTTGCCTATAATGTTATTTGATTCCCCGATATTTGTGAAAGTATTCTGAAAGAAAAATTGTCTGTGCTTATGATGATTAGGGTTAGGGTTCATTTCAAACAAGGTCCAGTCCTAGTTCACCTGCTAATGCTGTCATTTACTGATAGTTTATCTACATGTAAGAAAACGTTCTCTAATTATGTGACATATGCAGTAATTTCAGTTGGTAATTTTTCTGGCAATATGTTAAAAATACATGTAATATCAGTAAAATATTTTTTTCGGTCAATAGCCATTCTGAGTATGTCACAAACTACAGCATTTCCATTGTAGGACATATTACTTATGTTTGTTACAGATCTTGATAAAAGACAGGTAGTTGTTATCATTATTAGGATTAAAGAACATTATAAGGTATTATATGAATTCTCAATAAAACATTTGAGTTTCAGTTCACATTAATTCTTTCTGGATTCCATCATTGCTTAGTGATGTGAACTTAATCTAACCAGTGTTAAGATACTTAAATTAGGTAGGGAGATCTGTGTATGTCTGTGTTTGAGAGATAGGAGAGAGGTGAGAGAGCAGGGGCGAAATGATAGAGAGGTGGATACGGGTAGGAGAGGAGGGATGAGAGAGAGGAAGAAAGGGGTGAGAGAGTAGGGATGAGATGATGAGAGAGAAGGTGAGAAAGCAGGGGTGAAATGAAAGACAGGAGGATATGGGCAGGAGAGGAGGGATGAGAGAGAGGAAGAAAGGGGTGAGAGAGTAGGGATGAGATGATGAGAGAGAAGGTGAGTAAGCAGGGGTGAAATGAAAGACAGGAGGATATGGGCAGGAGAGGAGGGATGAGAGAGAGGAAGAAAGGGGTGAGAGAGTAGGGATGAGATGATGAGAGAGAAGGAAAGAGGTGAGAGAGCAGGGGCGAAATGATAGAGAGGTGGATACGGGTAGGAGAGGAGGGATGAGAGAGAGGAAGAAAGGGGTGAGAGAGTAGGGATGAGATGATGAGAGAGAAGGTGAGAGAGCAGGGGTGAAATGAAAGACAGGAGGATATGGGCAGGAGAGGAGGGATGAGAGAGAGGAAGAAAGGGGTGAGAGAGTAGGGATGAGATGATGAGAGATGAGAGAGATAGAAGGAAAGAGGTGAGAGAGCAGAGAGAGGCGAAATGATGAGAGAGAGGTGAGAGACGGGTAGAAAGAGAGGAGGGAGAGGAGGGAGAGAGAGGAAGAAAGGGGTGAGCGAGTAGGGATGAGATGATGAGAGAGAAGGTGAGAGAGCAGGGGTGTAATGATAGACAGGAGGATATGGGCAGGAGAGGAGGGATGAGAGAGAGGAAGAAAGGGGTGAGAGAGTAGGGATGAGATGATGAGAGAGAAGGTGAGAAAGCAGGGGTGAAATGAAAGACAGGAGGATATGGGCAGGAGAGGAGGGATGAGAGAGAGGAAGAAAGGGGTGAGAGAGTAGGGATGAGATGATGAGAGAGAAGGTGAGAGAGCAGGGGTGAAATGAAAGACAGGAGGATGAGAGATGGGCAGGTGTGAGAGAGAGGAGGAGAGAGAGAGAGAGGAAGAAAGGGGTGAGAGAGTGAGAGAGAGGGATGAGATGATGAGAGAGAAGGAAAGAGGTGAGAGAGCAGAGGCAAAATGAGAAAGAGGAAGATATTGATATTGGCAGGAGAGAAGGGGGGGGGGTGGTTGAGAGAGGAGGAAAGGAGTGAAAGAGTAGAGATGAGATGATGAGAGAGAAGGTGAGAAAGCAGGGGTGAAATGAAAGACAGGAGGATATGGGCAGGAGAGGAGGGATGAGATAGGAAGAAAGGAGTGAGAGAATAGAGATGAGATGATAAGAGAGGTGAGAGAGCAGGGGTGAAATGAGTGAGAGGAGAATATGGGTAAGAGAGGAGGGATGTGATAGAGGATGGATGAGTTGAGAGAGAGGAGGAGAAAGATGAAATGATAGAGAGGATTGGCAAGTAAGCGGGGGGAGTAAAATGAGATGAGAGAGAGGATGAGGGAAGGAAGGGAGGGTGAGAAAGGCTGGAAGGAAGAGGAAGAAGAGGGAAATGAGAGAGGAAAGGGAGAGAAGGAAAAAGATGATATGGAGAGAAGTAGAGGGAAGAGAGAAAAAAGTGAGAGGAGTATAATGGGGTCACATGTCCATGTAAATAACATTTTACACACGGAGACAGGAAGATTGATTTTCTCCTTCACCAGAACCTAAATGTATAATCCATTGGCTGAAATTGTAAACGACACCAGATCTTACTTGATTTGAGAGGCTGGCACATGTTTGATGTAGATGTATATAGGAACAGGAGTATATCTATGCAATTTATTGTGACGCCATTTTTTATTGTAGATATTTATTTTTTATGATCTTAAGTTTGTACTGTGCATTAACTGGCTGTCAGTAATAATTATCCTATATATATATATATACATATAACTTACTATCAGTAGATATTGTAGATTTAATGCTTTGTTATATAGGTACTGAGGGCACGTATAATCTGTAATAATGGCTCTGTTTCAGAAAATGTTGAGCATTGTGCCTTGACAGATGTACTTAATTTATGAGAGTTGTACATCTTCATCCAATAATAAATAAAATAGATGTTATATTTGTTTTGTTTTTCTTCCATGTGCCTCATTTCTTGGTGAACTTTTAGAGAGGCCTAGTTTTGAAAAAATGAAGACTTCAAACTCTTATCACTGGTATTAAATCAATTTCCCTATTACCTGAATTAATTACATACCACTAAATAAAGGATGGAGCATCAACACCAAGGATTCCGTGATCGGTAGTTTTATTAGTTGATAAGTTTCGGCTAGCTAGACTAGCCGTCATCAGAACCAATTACCCGGAATTACATGTTGTAACTTCTGAAACAGTTCTCGCTAAACACTGATCAATTATTTGATGAATGACAGAGACTGAATTCAGAAAAAAAGTTTCTAAACAATGCACCTCGATCAATAGATACATATGACTTAGGAATGGTTACATGTAGAAATCCAACTTTATAAAATGGGTGATATTTAACAATCTTTGGTGAAGAAAATGTGCAAAAGTTAGTTCCCTTGCCCCAGTATTAGGCTAAATTCGCGTAACCTGGTGGAAACGGTTCAGGTCATCTTGAGATTATTCCACTGTACGCGAACGCACCGGATGTACGTAAAGTTTCTACAGTTTCTAATATCCTGTCAAGCATAAATCAATTAACTGACATTAGGATACCACCCATTTCACTCCTACTTTATAGCACAATGCACCCGGAAATATGTGAGCCACCTACCTTACTTTTTATGCTGAAATCCTGAAAACTTATGATATTCAGCAAATTAGTTTCGAACAGCTTTGGCTGGACCCCTCAAACTGCACGTGCCAATAGCTGTACCTGGCGGTTTTTTAGCAGGTTCAACCGGTCCAATCGGTCCAACCTTTTCAACTGCTTACGCGAAAGCTCCCTTAGATACCATTAACATACAAGAACGGCTATTCCATTTTACCGTTGTCATAAATCAACAGAACAATGATCTAGTATTGTGGATATTAGAAATAGTATTTAGAAAGAGAAAACTTTAAAATATTGATGTAATCAGAGACCCAATCTTAAAAAATACATAACATCCCAGGTAAGTATCAAGCACTTTCAATCAGTTCATATTCTGAAAATTTAAAATTGACTACTTCATTGATTTCGGCCTGTGGATACCATTTATAAATATATGGTCTTACGCTCCTGACAAATAACATTGTTATATCAAATACTAAATTATGAATGAAACAATATATAAATCTATCGTACACCAGCGATAAAAATAGAAATAAATCTGTTACATTTATGTTCAAATACTTAGTGGTCAGGAGGAAAGTTAGATCATTTCCACAAAAAGTGTTTGATAAAACATCGATGGATAATTATAATGATAATATTGCTGTGTTAAGTACAGTCACTATAGTGATAACAAAACAAACATTTAGAATCACTTACGATACACCTATAAAGTGTGATGTAAAACTTCTGTCAGTATACAATAGAAATAAAACATTTTGTATCACACCTGACTTCCTTACTTTTTATGTTAAATATTTCGTGTGCACAGCTCTAGGTATAAGGTCGTTTCTTTTTTTTTTTTTTATATAAAATCATTCTATTCAATCTTTAAAAAAGAAGAAGGAAAAAAGAAGAAGAAGGAGAAGAGAGAAAAAATCAGGAGAAGAAGAAAAGAGGAAGAAGAAAAATTGCCGACATATGATATCAATAGAATCCCGACACCAACTCAAAATTGATGAAAGAAGGCAGAGCACAAAAAGAGGGAAGGGTGTCTTCAGTGTCTTCAACCATGAAAAATACTGTCAATTTAGGTACATGTAAATAATGCCATGTTCCCAAATGAGAACAATGTTAGTGAAAACTCCATGCATGGTAACGAGCATTGAACACATCTGATTTTTCCCAGTACGATCATGGTGACAACCGTAGAATTAAAGTCAACATACTCTTCGTTAACCGACATTTCTCAGATGACTATCTTGTGGGTTTTTTCTGTCACAGCTTTCAATATCTTGCACAGGAACAGTCTCTTGAATAAAGAATTGATTGTGACATGTAAACACCAAAACTTGGAGACGCAAATATATTGTTATATAAAAACAGAAAATTCACAACAGGAAGATCAAAATCATCACGCTTATCTATTGGTTTCGTTATTGGAAAAGACCGAGTTAAGCTTCCGTCGTGTCCTAATTGATTTCCAATTCTGTTGGGTACATGCTAAGGACATGTCTATCAAAATTGTTATTTAAAGACAAGTTGTCTTCAGTATGTCTAAGACTGATAAAGAAGGATTTGGCAAATGTATTTGTGACCTGTTTTGAGCTCTTTGATCAACTGAACTTCATGCCCAGAAAAATAAATGAATGAGCTATTAAAGTGATAGAAACATTATCATGAAAAACAAGTCAGCTATGAGAGGGAAGATCTAACAGGTACTGAAAAAATCGACACGGGTAGTAAGATTCATCATCATTCTTTCTTACATCCAATTGATCTTTCCATGCTTGTTAGTACATCTCCTCCTTCACTTTAAACTTACATGTTATGAAAATGTGCTAAGCTTTCTGTTTCCCTGATAAACATACTTTTACTCATTTTCTTTTTCTATGGAGAGGACTGATAAACATCTACCTACAAAACGCAAACATTGTCAACCGCTTCAACTGTATGATTTTCATGTTTCTCCACAACATTAGTTTGTTCTTTAAGACGTTTAAGAAAGTTGGTTTATTTCTCCATTGTCCTCGACATCAGCTATTTTACGTCCATTAATTGATATTACCAACAGATTTGACGAATGTCATTGGATAGTGTCAGTACAAATCTCTCTCTCTCTCTCTCTCTCTCACTCTGTGTCTCTCTCTGTGTCTCTCTCTGCCTCTCTCTCTCGCTCTATTTGGGGATGGAAAGGTGTCTACGATACAAGGTGCCAACTTTGTGTTTCTGCAGAGCGTACATGAAATTTATTCGTTCCCTTAACTTTTGGTGTGACATTCAATTTGAAGATAAAAACATTTCTGAGAGTATCAATAATGAAGGAAAATAAGTTTTGTAGAGAAAGGAGATTTTCCTAAGCAGGTAAATGATATACATTATAGACAATGTATTCTGAAGTCAGGAGACGTTTTCTTTCCAAAAGTAAACATTTCACCTCACATAAAAAGTTACATAACCATGTATCATACCAAACCAATGATACATCAAAATTTATCAATTATACTAGAAAAAAACAAAGATTTTGTTGATTATAAAAAGGACTTCTTGAGCCAATATTGATACTCTCAGGGTGTTAACACTCCAGCTGGAGTCGCGTTGACCGAGTGCTTAAGGTGTCAGACCGTCTTTATTACCCTCCACCTTTGGGTCGCGGGATCGAGGCCTACATGGGGTAGTCGCCAGGTACTGGACGCATGTAGGTGGTCTTTCTCCGGGAACTCCAGGTCTCCTCCACCACCCAACACCAAAATTTGGCACGTCTTTAAAAGACTAAAGCAGTTGATAGAACGTAAAGCAACAGTAAACTGAACTTCCTCTCCAGAACATATCACCTCCATATGACGCTTCATGTGGTGTAGGATATCGAACCTCTTTCGCACCAGCACATTTTTCTTCCATGACCCAACATGTGGTTTTCGAACTGGAACCCCTTCTTCTTCAACACCTATCAATTTCTGGATGTCAAGTTTGTGTAGGAAATCTTTTTCTTCACTACCACCTATCGCCTCCTCGACGCCATACATGAAGAAAGAAACGGATTTCCTTCCTCATCACCACCTGTCACCTCCTTGACGCCGCACCTGAAGAAAGAAATGGATTTCCTTCCTCATCACCACGTGTCACCTTTTGGACGCCACACCTGAAGAAAGAAATGGATTTCCTTCCTCATCACCACGTGTCACCTTTTGGACGCCACACCTGAAGAAAGAAATGGATTTCCTTCCTCATCACCACGTGTCACCTTTTGGACGCCACACCTGAAGAAAGAAATGGATTTCCTTCCTCATCACCACGTGTCACCTTTTGGATACCACACCTGAACAAAGAAATGGATTTCCTTCCTCATCACAACGTGTCACCTCCTTGACGCCCCATGTGGTGTAGGAACTGTACCCTCTTCCTCACCACCAGGTACTTGGACTAGATATTAATGTATATTTTATGAAAAGAAAATTCGAATAAATGGGAATTTATTTTGCACCTGGACATCTATGCAATGTCTTTTTGATAATTTCACTTTGGTCTTATTTTTCAATTTTAATTTGATTTGATAGAAGGTAAATGAATAATTAAACCAGATACAACAGCAGACAGCTGAGTATTCCGACATGATATATATGGTTTCTCAGTTATTCTCTACTCAGACTTCACCCGACATAAAATATCCGCCATGTTAATTAAATCTCCAGCCAATTATGTAACGGATGATAAAATCAGCACTGTTCCTGTACATTGAGATTAAAAGTTGGCATGTGTCTGCACGTTTTAATTCCGTGTTACTGCCTGACTACATACAAGGATTTACTGGATACCCGGGGTAATGTGTTTTAATCAACACAATTCTGTCAACGATGTCAGTAAAACAGGACGTGAACCTGAAGAATAAAACAGTCAGATATTTAGGTTAAAAGTTTGTTTTTACATGTATCTTAAAGAGATCCCAGATCGACCATCGTATGACATTTATTAACTCTTAGGGGTCGGATCCTTAACCTTTAGGGATGGTGAACGAAAACTAACAGCTCCAATTACATAAACAATAGCCACACCTAAATACACCTGCCGTCGTGTGTTAACAGATTTTGATGGAATTTGACCTGCAGCCTTATACCAACAATAAGATCTCACATAAGTCTGACAATGTAACTAATTCGACCGTTATTTGCAGAGTTATGGCCCTTTTAAATTGTATTTCTATTGGACTCTGTAAACACCGTAACTTAAGTAAATATAAACAGATTTTGATTTTAAAAAAATGACATTCAGCCTTGTATCAATACGATCTCTGATTAGTTCAGCAATGTGACAGATTTCATGTAAATTACAGATGTATGGTTCTTC